CAAGGTCCGTGCTGTGAAAATATAATTTTTTAAAAACTCCTTATCTCAGGAGACTGCTAAGAGTACCGTGGAACGAAAACAATTTATCAAATAAGGCAGTGCTTGATGAAGCCCTCGTGGGACGCTCAATGTTAAAAACAATCAGGAAATGACAAATACAGTTTTTAGGACACCTGAATAGACATAAAGGTCTTGTGGAGCAGTTTGCCACCACCATCAACAAGTGCAAGGCCAGTGGTGTGGAAATTTATTTTTTTTTAAACAAAAAAACCCTTATCTCAGGAGACTGCTGAGAATATCATGGAATGAAAACAATTTATCAAATTAGGTAGTGCTCTATGAAGCCCACGTGGGATGCTCATTGTTAAAGTTAAAAACAATTAGGAAACGACAAATGCAGTTTTTGGGACACCTGAATAGACATAAGGGTTTGAACATCTAGCTCTCACTGGCAAAATTGAGGGCAAGCGAGGCAGGGGTAGGCCCAGAACAACCTACTTAAGGAACCTAAACAAATGGGTAACGGGGAAAGATCAGGGAAACGTAGCCTTTTTAAGAGCATCCGAGCAAAGGAATGAATGGAGAACCGTGATCGCTGATGTCTGTCGCAGATCTGGCACTGGATGATGATGATGATCTTTGGCAAACCACTCTGAGCAGCTCGCGGTCGCAACCACTGTTGCAGTAGTGGAGCAGGTCTTGGAGTAAAACCACATTCCTACGTTTTAGGGGATTTGGGGTGAGGGGGGGTGGTAGGATGTGTGAAGAGTGGTGTATGAGGATGGATGGTGGAATTATGTAACATAGGTCACGTATTCTCGTCTTCCTATAGACTAACGAGAGAGACTAACTCAGGCCAGGCAGTGAAGAGGTTAAATAGAATTTTTTTTTTATGTAGGGAGCAACCTGGGCTGAGAGGGATTCAACATCCCCGCAGAAAGACCGAGATACTTGATCAAAATTTCTCCCAACTCAGGAATTGAACTCAGGTCTCCTGCATGCAACAGGGAAGCACTGAACCGCTACACCACAGACGTCAGTTGTCTGATAGAGAATGTCGAATAGATGGCTGGGGAGCAATACCTGAGTGGGTTTGTAAAAGCCTAGCAGAGAGATTGTGATGTGTTGGTATGATCAAAGATAGTACATAACAAGATGGGCCACTTCTCTCTTTGAGCCAATTAAAAAAGTGTCCTCAAAATTTGGTG